ACTTACATCACTTGTTTTGGGTTCTCCTACTTTGGGTCCCTAGCTATTACCGTAGAGCTAAAGAAAGTAGTTTATCAGATTGATATTAGTTGCTTTTCTGTTCCTATACTTCTTTATGTGTAATAAATAATGCTATAGATAGGGGAGAAATACGAGGAAGAAGAAGAATTATACTGAATAGATAGTTTTCTAAGTTAGACCACTTCATTTAAAATGGTGGTAAATTTAATGGTATGTTTCCAAATGAATTGGTAACATTTGAGTTCGTTATTAGTTTTATGACTTTGATAGAAATAGTAAGAATACTTCCCCGTTGTTGTATTTTACAAATGAGCGCTTAAGAAGGAAGACTTCCCTTACGTCTTTAGACAAACAGACATGTATATAGGGAAGACAATCTGAAAACTTATTAGCATCCTTCCATCCATCTTACAGCTCCAGCGTCTCTGTCGTTTCGTAAAGGTTTCAAATCAATAAAGAAGAATCGGGTTTGACACATTAAAAGATGCCTAACTGCTGAAAATGGTAATACCCATTCCGTAAACTCTCAAACACGTTAAAAGATGCCTAACTGCTGAAAATGGTAATACCCATTCCGTAAACTCTCAAACACGTTAAAAGTAGTTTTGAAAATATATTTTTTCTCAGTCCCCCCCCCCCCCATTTAATCAATAAGACTTAACTTCCTAGGATTAGCAAGGATTTGATTGCTTTAAAAACAAGCTATTATCCTTGCTAGATATAAAGTAGTTTTGGTAAAAGCGAGAAAAGTGGAAGACGAGGTTTAAAGTTAAATGCAAACAAATAACGCCATGGTTAGCTTTAGTTATTCTATAAGACGATACCAGTTTGAAAGTGAGAATCTATATATGTCTTTCGGTCCTTAGTTTTTAGACGAAAACAAGTAAGTAACTGTCTTTGAGTCACTCGAATCATGTAAATTATTGGCGTAGATAACAACCCGTTATTGAATAGCCAAACGTTATAAACCTTTGTTACCCGAAAGGCAGAACTCTGTACAAATAGCGATAAGACCTAGGGCAGCTCGTGTCAACAATGTCCCTTGACAGACGGAGGTAGAGGGCTTACCCTTTTCCTTCTTTGCACTTGACATCTCATTAAAATTCCAAACTGTCGCTCACAGCTGAACTAGCCTGAGGCATTGATCTTCTAAATAGCTGACAGACACCGTGCTGCACTCAGTCATGGATCTGTTGCAACTGATAATACCAGCATATCTGACAAGAAGATATTTGAGGTGAGACATAGGGTTTAATTCACCCCTTTCTCATCTCTTCTGTTCTTTGGTGTCCGTTTAGCCAACTTTCGTTCTTTGTTATAGAAGGATTTATATTGATGTCATTAGTTACATTAAAGATGTCATAGTTCCTAATGTAGAACTTAATTTCGTTTCGTAAGCCTGAAAGATTTGTTCTTCACGTTTGTTTCTTCTACTTTATCACCAAGTGTATCGGAAACAGGAAGTAAAGCTTTCACGTTTGTATTCTTACTTATATACTTGCAATTAATATCATATACTTTTCAGAGCACTACAAATTAATGGATTATCTTTTTGAGAACAATTAATTTCATTGTCGTTATTTGGTGTTTTCTCCAAACTTTACTCTTTATAAAGAACAACAACAAAAAACACTATATGAAATCGAATCATACAGAATATCACTATAGGTGATACATATGTCTATAATATACAGAAATCAGATCTTTGAAGCACTAAAACTATATAGTTAATTGTTAATCAATTTCTCAAACAGCTCTAAAAGTTGAGCGTTTTTCTTTTCTTGACTTTTCTTTTCGTGAATGTACGTTTTACTTGTTCGATATTCATTTGTGGAATCGAAACTCTTAGAATTCAGTCATTAATCCAAATAAGAAATCGGACATCTTTACTATAAAGGTATCTATAATAATGTATGTAAAAAAGTTTTTATCATACAGTACTTTAAATACGCTTTTTAAACACTATTTAAAACAAATACTCACAATGAGCTGACGTACGTGTACTTGTCTTTATATTTTCGTGTTTTTTTTATTTTCACATTTGTACATAACTTGAGCGCCATAACAGTTTGTCA